TTCGAATAAAGGATTGTGACGCGCCGTAACATGAGAAGCCCTGGAATTTCAGCGTTGTGTATAGCTATAGCAGTATTCACAGCCTCTCAAATGAGCGCTAATGTTCCAGTAAGTAAACCAACCGTTTCGGGTTCTCAAAAACTGGTGATTGCAGATCGCAGTCGGTGATAACAGCAATAATTTTACAGTCGATATCGATATTCACTTCTCGGATTGTCTAAACAAAAACTTATAAGTTTCAGAAACTGATAAATTTTTAGCTCTAAATCCAACAGTGCAGTAGGCTCGCGTCCGGATGTGAAGACGAATGGATCGCTTTTCTTCCGATCAATACTTATTTGCTAAAAGAGAGCCACAGAAGAATTCATCTAAAAGCCCGCTTGGAATATTATTTGGGTGTGATAAATTTAAACTTAAGCCCATTAGTTCTGTTGGTCCCAACGAGCGCTGGAAGAGATAAAACAATAAAAAAAGCAACTGCTCAAAGTATCCTAGCAGGCATCTAAATTGTGACGTAAAAAATGCAAAGAGAGAAACCGAAATATAAATATATGTATTGTATAAAATCAACAATATATATATATATATATGTATATGTATACGTGAGGCTGATTTCTTTCTATCTCTATCTATTATGACTTTTGTATGCGTGTTTCTTCTATTTTACTTTTATACATCTTATCCCAATCTTTTTCACGAAGGTTTAACGGGAGAAAAGTTGACTTGTGCTAAGCTTGTTGGTGCGTTACGGTAGCAACATCAAATTTCCACATCAAAATTTGTCTCGAATGTTTCGATAAAAAAAAAACAAATCACTTACCAGTGGGTAATAATCTTCCACCTCCGATGTTGGTTTGATGCGTCGGCCAAAACGCGAACGAACTTGACGCGAGCTAAAAAGCACTACACTTATCTAACAAAACTATACAATATTATCGTTAATTATCGCTCGAAATATTTTTGTTTTGGTTTCAATCACTATTAGTGATGATGTCGCCAGAGTAGTAGTAGAAAAAAAACAATCATTCCCTAGGAAGGTCTTTGGTACAAGTACCAATTTACAATTGAAACAAATCAAAAATGGTGGAGGAATTGCTTTTCCCTTCCTCAAAGTACTAAATCGCAAAGAAAGTCCAGTACAGTGGTACCTTTCAAGCTTTTCACGAAAAAAACTGTCCTTTACCCATAAGTTCGTCCGCCAATCCTCGTGAAATCGTACCGCACCTGTGGCTGATCTGAAATACCGCACAAACTTTTAAAAAAACACACTTTTCATTCAAAGTGTCAGTGCTTCCTCATTTCTAACTCACTTTCCTCCAAATGACCTCTTAGGAGGGGAACGAAAAAAACCAACATTAGCAGCGAATACAAACAACGGGCATGACAAAGCGGTAAGTTTCCCTGTGTAGAAGGTCGGAGGTTCAGCTGTGCCAGCGGGACAACCAATGCTTTGGTGGAAAGTCTGAGAGAAAAAGTTATTTCCACAAGCCTCCGGAGAGAAGCTATTGTTATTATTAATATTATTATTATTATTAACATTGTTATTATTACTATTATTATTGTTATTACTGTTGTTATTGTCATTATTATTGCTGTTATTTGGGAGAGTTTGGTGGGAGATATTATTGCCAGGGAGCCGAAACTTTAAGATAACTCAGCCTACCCATGTACGGCCCGCAAAATCATATTCCACTTTCACGTGCGCCTGGGTTTCAAGCAACCATGAGAACTTTGGCAATGATTCCATCATTCTTTTCGATGACAAACTGGCGCCACTGTATGTCAGGAAGTCAAAAACCGCCATCAACTTGCTTCTACGCAAACCCTTGAAAG